GTAGTTGTGTCTTCATGTGACTTCAATTTTTTGTATGTAATCTTTGATAGCTCTCTTTACTGAGAGCAAATCGTCATATTTAAGCCCAAAAGAATCTTTCCATTCCAGCTACTGAGGCTTTTGGTTACTGCTTCCATGGGCAGAAGGAGCTCTTCAAGGCTACTGTCAACTGCTTACTTCCAGCACAGAAAATGTGCAGTATTCGTGCTCCAACCAGACCAAGGGATAATTGATGTATAAACATCAACTCAAGCCATAACTGTGCTGCAAGCATTGCGATCCCATAGATACCGCAATTTTGCTGCTACTTAGTGACAAAAGTTCCTTCTCACATAGAAAAGCACTTGGCATCTTTTAGGACATACAAAGGGATTCAAAGAGATATTTAGTGACTCTCAAACMACTAAAATAATGCAGCTGCACTAGGATATACTTCACAAACAGGACAATCCAAAACACAGTGACAAGTAGCAAGCTTTGTAGCAGATGTACCCTAGAACAGAAACAACTTTTATCTAAGTCTCTGTACTTGTTTTGGCATAGTAATTTTCTTCACAGTGGCTAATATAGGGCTGTGTTTTGGATTTGTGCTGGACACAGGGTTGACAGTACAGAGATGTTTTTGTTATTGCTGAGCAGAGCTCACACAGAGCCAAGGCCTTTTCTGCTTTTTGTACTTCCATGGTGGTAAAGGAGTTGGTGGTGCCTGGGAGGTTGGGAAGAGACACAGCTGGGACAAGTGATCCCAAATGACCAAAGGGATATTCCAGACCGCATGGTGACATGCCTAACACATAAAGTTGCTGCAACAAGGAAGAGAGGGATGTTCAGAGTGATGTCATTTGTCATCACAAGTCACTGTTTCTTGCGAAGGGGCCCTGCTCTCCTGGGGATGGCTGAACACCTGCCTGCCCATGGGAAGCACTGAATGAATTAGTTTTGCTTTGTTTGTGTGCATAACTTTCGCTTTCCCTATTTAACTGTCTTTATCTCAATCYTTGAGTTTTCTCATTGCTACCCTTCCAGTACTCTTCCCAATCCTGCTGGTAGGGAAAGTGAATGAGTGGCTGCCTGTAGTTTGGCTGCTGGCTGAGGTTAAACCACGATAATTTCTCATCCACTTCTTAAAACACAGACTCTTCTCTTTATCTCCCTCTGTCTCTCCCTGCGAGACAAAAGCAGCAGGTCTCAGGATTGGGATTCTGAATTGTGAATTGGAATACAAGGAACAAACCTTGTAACCAAGGCAATACAGAAGTCCCTAAAGTGCAAGTTTTGTGGAAGTGAGATAAGAAATGGCTGCAGAAGAACAGAACCAGTTCTATTGTTTTGGTTTAAACTTTTTTTTTAACTTCAGTATAGCATTCTGGGGAAGGACAAACTGTGGGTGAGAAACAAAATGTTCATCTCATTGCACCTACTAAGGCATGGAGCTGGACACGCAGCATTTGGGTGATGTTTCAGCGCAGGAAGATGTGCATGTTTGTGTGGTACCAAGCAGGAGTCCGCCACTGCTGCAGAAAGAGAGAAGAGACCTCTGAAACTGAAATCCTTGAAAAACTACTACAGCAATTCAGTCTTCATGGAAGTTCATGGATAAAAAAGGAATCCTTTTTCTTCAAATAGAATGAGCTAAGTCACATCTCTTCATTGACTAATTGAATAGTGTSAAAAAGGCACAAAAAAAGAGCAGTAAGTACTGTAATATCAGAACGTAAACAAATTCAGTTCTGTAGAGATGTAGTGGAACATASTACAGTAAATTAAATATTTTATTGCTTTGAGGCAGAAACAAATATATAATTTATGTGCATTCATGTATATAGACATAAAACACACAAACATCAAGAGAAAAGCATGAACCACTATCTCTTTTTAAAAGTTCAATTTTTAATTAAATTTCAAAATAAGCAGAGAAGTTGCATAAAATAATGCAGCATAAGCTATTTTTTATCTAATGTAGCAGTTGAGAAGAAAACCCTTGGTCTTAAAATAATTTTTACCTCTTTTGAAGTCAGTTGAAAAGTTTTCTTTTTATCTCAAGGAAAACTAATAAAAGAGTAATTTATTGGTAGTATGGGGTTATGAGAAAACAAAAGTAGAATCTTGAAGGAAAATACATCTGTGTTTGTCCTGAGACTCTCTTTAATACAAAAGAGACTTTGTTCTTTCCTGAACAAAAGGGGAGCTGTGGTTAGTGTCCTTATTTTAAAAGATTTCCAGCTTTGTCTTTTTTTCACAGGTTTTGTTCTACAGATTATTAAAACATGGTGAATTAACAGCACTCACATTTTAAAAATACTTGTATCTGTTCAGAAGACTTCTATCTGTGTCACCAGCTTCCCAGCCCATGATATTGGGGCACATAGAAGGTAGACTTCATTTTGGTGGCAATATTTGGAAGCACGAAGTAGACAAGGACAAAGGACCAAACATTAGAAGCAAACACATTCCTTCCTTTTTAATCAATATCTTGTTAGACTGTTGGGTTTCACTCATTAATCTTCTGGTAAGTGAAAAATGAAATGGATTTACCATTACAGCAAAGTAAAATTGCAAATTAAATTCATTCTAATGAAATTGCTTACAAAGAGTGCTATTTCATCACACACAGCTTCTGTCAAAAGAGTTTGGACTTCAGAGTACTCATTTCTTTGAGGTAATGTATTTATAAGCAAATTCTGAATTCAAAAGATATGAAAACAAACTTTCTAAATTCCTCCTCTTACACTAAGCATATTTTTTAAATCATGCAAATTCCACCAAAAAAAAGTTTTTAAAAGTATTGTGTTTTGTGTTTTATAGCTTAAAAAAAATCTGAAACTGAACTTCATGTGACTGCTGTGCTGCATCTAAATGTTCCCTATATTATAGCTGAGCTTGAACATAAAACTCAAAAAATAAAATGCCTGGAGGTTTACAATGAATTGTTTTTAATTTCTTCAGCAAATGCTGCATATTGATTGATCTAGTATTGTACATCACAGGAAATTAGCAATTAAAGGCTTCCATGCAACCAGCATGAGATCCTACAAATCCTGTTATCCACAGGAGCAAAATTAAAAGAACAAGAGGAATCAACAAAGCTAAAAAGTGCTTATTGTAAGCCATGCAGAATTTGTCCTTTGCTGAAAAACACAGAAACTCTGCACAGATTGCACACACAAGAGTATTTAATGTAGGATTATAACTCAATTAAGGCAACTATTTCTCTGATCCTGTAATTCTAAGGCATTTTGCAGATGGCTATGAATCTCAGGCTGTAATACAATTTTTTTTTCTGTTCTCTATAATATAAACTCCTATATTATGTAAAGACACACTTAATCTTCTGCCTAGGAAAATAATCTTCACAATGTAGGTCAAAAGAAACACTGCTGGTTTTGATTAATTTAAAATAAGGTAAATTGAATTAGCACATACAACACTAAATGTGAACTTCATCCATATTTGTAAATATGACATTAACAATAAAGCCTAATGGATACCCATGTTTGCTTAAGGAGTTATTGACCACATCCCACAGCACMGGGAAGGAAGATTCCCAGCCCAGCAGGATCTATATCAACCTCGGAATTGGAGGCAGCATCACACATAAGGCTGCGTATGCAAATTGCATGAGACTGCTACTTCAAACTCCCAGTTAGCCTGGAGATTGGTGTGCTACAGGAACAAACATGCCCTTTCTCTGTTCCAATGTGAGCAAAAGTGCATCTACACTATCATTAATCATATGAGACTGGTTTGCTTCAGATTTGTCAAAACTAATTCAGCTTTGCTGAATTTAGCAACAGATACTGGATTTATCTAGACTGGGAGAAGAGAAAAAGGTTATATAAGCTTTACTAGCATAGCCAGACAAATTATATTGTTTATCCATGCCTAAACAAAAGGTCACTATTAGCGCAGGGTTAACTAAAACTTCTTAGCTAATCTCTGACCTAATTTTAACCTCTCTTGTTAATTGCAGAAAAGTTTTCAGTTAAAATATTGGTTAGTTGTGTTTACACATCCCCCCTGCCTCTGTAGTTTCTTGCCTTACAGCTCATAAATTAAAGACAAAATATCTTTTTCTAAGACTAATTAGTAGCCAATTAGCTTCATGTTGTTACCTAGAGTGGATCTGACAGTAAAGACAAAGATTAAGCATTTTAATCTCTTAAACACAGGAGGCATTTATGTAGAAGAAAGGATTATCAGAATCTTTATTTCACTTTACTTTTCCCTCCAGATCATAAAATACTATTTCAGAAAGCTTGGAAAAATATCCAAGACTTCTGCTTCCAGCAATTCCTATTAGAAAAAAATACAGTTTTAAGTGAAAAACTAAACACACAAAGTCTAGAGGATCTGTAATCATGTTGGTTGTAATCAGACACAATCATCTGTCACTGCATCATACTTCTTACAGAGCAGCTTACACTGGGCTTGTTTAATTCCTTTGGTAGCATAATCATTGTATGCCAGGGTACAGGTATGATGTATTTATATCCGAGATGTCCCAATCTGCAGAAGACTAGTTTTTGCTCAAGTAAAAGAAAAGCACCTGAGTTGTAATTCTGAAAATCACTTTTCCACTTTTCGTACATCAGAATTGTTCAGTTTCTTGTAAAAACATATGAAGACTTAATTTAAAAATTAAGTCTGAGAGAAACTAAATCCTATTGCATTTTAAAATACATGTAAATTTACRAAGGAGTTCTAATAATATAAGAAATAAAAATCTCAAAGCTAGAAAGAACTGTCCAAATAACATGCCTTATGTTCATCTGAACTAAGTAACCTAAGGAAGTACGGTTTGAAAGCCTACTGTAATTAGATACTGAAGATAAAAAGCTAGTAGAAATTCAATGCCATTCTAACTGCTGAAGCCTTACCAATTCCATCACATTCATATTCATATTTCTCGTCTTTTTGTACTGATAAAAGCCTCTCCAAAATATATTTATCCAGTCATACTGAGGATCATATTTGACACCCAAGCGATAACGTAAGTCTAAATTRTGTTCAGTTTTCTTCCTCTTCTCCACAAGAAATGAGAATGCTCTTCCATCATCTGAACAAAGGCACCTGGCCTACCACAAAAATGAAAAAGCTTGTCCATTACTGTTTGTCACATTGGTAGATAAACTCTTGCCTAAAAAGGCCCAAAAGTTGTTTTATTACAGTACAATCAACTGCTTGGATCAAATCCAGATTCATATTCATTTGCTAGCTGCAAATAAATCCCACTGTACAGTCAGTACAGTTTTCTTATATTTTAACATTATTCACCAAAAGCTCCATTCTTCTGAGCTTGCGTTTATTCTTTGGCATGGGCTTGTCATATAAGCCATTTTTGAGAAGATGCTCCTTGCTGTGATGGATCTGGGCACCATGCTGAAGTTGGAAAGAGCATAAAGCTTGCAGCGGATGGAGTATAGTCTGCAGAAAGGTGAAGAGATGGGGGACAAAAAACCCAAGCTTTTAGTAAGACATTTTAGAGACATTCAGGTTTCTTTTTTTTTCAACCATTACTTAAAAATGCTAATAAAATACAATTTGGATGATAAATGTTGTTAAATATAACCTTTGGAGTCAGAGTGTAGCTGAATAAAAAATGTACTGAAAAGAACCACAGAGTAGTCACACACCCACCTACCTGGTGCCATCCCTCACTCCTTCTTTCGAAACACTCAATTCTGACTTCAGACCCAGCCATATTACTGTTAGTTACGGCTTTGACTTGACCTTAGCAATAGACTACAATCAATTACTGTGGCTCGGTCAACAAGTTGCAATAAAATAAGTCACAATAACTAAGCTGTTTTTGCTTGCACAAAAATCCCTTGAGGCAGAGTTATAGAGAGGAGCGGCTCATGATGAAGGCAGCTGGATTGCTATTCTGGAGACTCCACTGTGTCCATGCTTCTGCCCAGAGGTACTGCATAGGAATAATGAAGCCACACAAACCGAATTTATCTCAAGTAGTTCTAATAGTAGACTCTTCATTTTCTGGTTGCCTGACCGAGTCACAGGGGCCTCATGTGCAGTTGTGTAAAGCAATCACATATGTAACTGCAGTCAGCAGGAGCTGAGATTCTGCTGAGAAAAATACGACTCTTAAGAGCACACAGGAAAATCAAGTGATATACTAGGCATCAAACCAAGTACCCACTTTTAAGTTCCATGATTCTCAACTTCAGTTCACCATCCTATATGATGGGAATAACACTCAGATCAGGGAGGGTATTAAAAAATGTATGAATGTAGCTCCTGGCTGCTGCGGTGCTTAGAGAAAGCAATGATTTTGGTTTTGAAAAGTAGGCTGGACCAAGTCTTAGTGGTAGCAGTGAATCAGAATATAGGACTGGTAACTACAGACATTAACTAACTATTCAGTCTAAGACTGAAGACCTAATGAAGTAAAAATATGTTGTGCTAGCACAAAAAAAAATAAAAAGTTAAATAAAAAACATATATATATATACRAGTTTCTTGAAAACTCTCTTTACACAGAGTTCCAATTTCTGAGCCATGTTTTCTTGTGTGTCCACACATTTTGTCCAAGTCTGGTTTAAATCCAATTGATTTAATTGATGTGAGTCTAGTGTCACAGAGGCAGACATGGAGGTAGAATACTATATATTATGCCAACTGTAGGAGCAATTTCTGACATGAGAAACTTTTTTAGTAGGCCGAGGTTAAGTGCCAAAATATTGCCTCCCTGATGGAAAGCAGCATGAGCACTGAAGGGTGAACACTACCATGTAATGGGTACATGGATGAGATTGAAATCTCTTTTCACAGACCATTCTCTACTAGATTCTGGGCACACAGCTGAATTGCTGACCTGGCTCTGTGCTGCAAAACTACTTGCAAATGTTTTTCAGAGGGCTTATTAAATTGATATTACTAATGTCAGCAACAAAAGATTAAGAAGGACATCCTCTTAATGATCTCTTCAATCACAAACTAGTGGGATCACAACTTACAAGGAAAGGCTAATGTCCAATTAGTATTCTTTGACCTCAGATAAACTTAAACTCGAGAGCTATTAAGTCCCAAATTCCTCCAGTGACATGTAAGAGTTGGTAGACATAACCCAGTGGGTTGCATTCCATGGTGGAAGAGTGGAGGAGATAGGGAACCTGGCTTTAAAAAGCATTAAATCTTCTAGATAGCTGTGAGGGAGTATTCAGATCATCTCTGCTCTCTAGTTTTTGCAGAAAACAATTTACTTCTTTCCATGCAGTAACATACTTGATCTGTTACCACAAAATGAATTATGTTTTTCAGAGTCAAAGTTTACCTTGTTGTGTTCACTTTTGGAGCACAACATGAAAGAGTCACAGTAATCTGAACATGCTATAGATAAATAACTAATGAAGAAAAATTGTTTCATTGGTGGAATGGAAAAATTGTTTCCATTCTTGTTTTAGTTTGCTATACAACAAAATAATTAAAAATGTCATTAAGATTTTAACTGTCACATTACATTAATAGCTAATTACCTTCACTGCCCCTCCACCATTCATAAAAGAAAAACATAGGTATTTAAAGTTACATACCTCTTGTATACTCTTATTTTTTTCCATGATAGAAAGAGCAACAGCTGCACATTCAAGAGTAGACAGACAGGTGTTTGTTGGTTGTGTACGAATTACATATTGACTTGAAATACTGGGTTTTAACTGCACCTGAAAAATAGCAAACGCTAGTGAACTAAACACGTCAGGATAGCAAACAAGATACCTATTCTCTATGCCAAGCAAAACACATCTTCTTTCCCTTGTGTTCACTTCCTGTCTTTCTTTTTTGTTGCTTTGTCTCCCAGGAGCCAATGACATGCTACTGTTAAGTGTAATATACGTGAGTCATCATAACAAACAAAACCTGCCCATTTGTTACTATACAAACATGCAAAAGAAAGACAAACTAAGTGAAATTTTAGCAAAAATAAAATTATTCACTTACGCTTGTTTTATTGCACACTCTAAACACACACACAGTCCCATGCAAAGTACAATGGCCATATAGCCCCTGATTTTATATACCTTGGTAAAATATTATTTGTCAAAGTTCTGCATGTAAGACTTCTAGAAACTGTATTTATTCATACAATGTACTAGGTCACTGATTAGAATTATTTGCTTAACAAAATCATGTCTGAAAATTATTTAATGGCTCTGCCTCGAGTGATAAACACTTTACACTATATTGTAAATTAAGGGTTTTTAAGAAAAAGAATTTTAAAAGCTCCAAAAGCTTTTACCAAGTTTATAAACAGTGGTTGAAACAACACAGAATTTATACCATTAGACTCTGTGTGAAAATTCAGATATTCAAAAATTCAGAAATTCAGATAACTACATTTCAAAACAACAATTATGATATTTTACAAGCACTTCTCCATAAAATTATAGATAACACAAAACAACAATTTACTTGTTTGTTTGCTTTTGCTTCAAAGTAATTCGCAAATCATATGCACACTTTGGAATAATATGAGTTTCTAACAAAACATAGAAATGTCAAGTTGAAAAAACAGTAGCCAATTAAGTATCACTCACCAAAATAACAACATAAGAAAGAAGATAGAAACCATCTCAACCAACTCAAACTAGACAGGAATTTAGATAAACTGAATACAATTACTCTCTGGAATTTAGCCAAGACACTGAAATTAGTGTATCTATTCTCTGTAAGTGGCATAGGAGTTTGGGGACTTAGTTTCCAAGCCATCAGAAGCATGAAGCAACACATAAAATAAATTTTCATTTCTATCTGTAACTCAAGACTGCTGTTCTCAAAAGCCCTAATTTCAGCAATTCTCAAAAACTGTTACAGTAACTTAATAAAAACTGGCTTATCTGCCAACACACCACTCCCATAGCAAATGCTACAGCCTTTAAAGGATTTAAACCACAGCAAAAATAGGGACCGTTCAGTGTTTTTTAGGGCCGATTTTTTTCTTCCAGAGCCTTCCTTGGACATACCATAGGCAAGTGAAGGCCCAGCTAATCTTGTTCAGCTGTTCAAAACTGATGAGGAGAAAACTATTGTCTTGAAGTTCTATTGACCCACTGTTTGAAATTTTAAAAATCAGGAAACAGATTTCTGCTTTTATTTTAAATAATAGAACTGGAACTCTAGCCAAAATGTCTAAGTGTTCTCTTCAATATCCTTAGTATCAATATATTTCCACCTTTTCTACACTGATTTCCTCATCGTTACTCTTACTAGCTTCACTCTCCAAACAGAACCCAGCATTATGCAAAATTATACTTGGAAAATAACGTACCAACAACAACTCAAAAGAGTTAGTACAGCTGTCTCAAAGGGCATWCTAAAGAATTCTTGCCTGTTCTGTTTTCTGCAATAACACTACAAGCATCTCAAAACAGGCCGAGGCACAATATATTTTTCTGTGGCTACTATGGAAAACCTAGTACTTAAGATCCCTTCCTCTTTATGTTGATAGTGTCTTCTGTAAATCTGAATGTTATTTTGGGAATTAAGTTGTTTTAACTTTTCAAGAATGAAGGAAGAAAGTACCATCTGTGCTCCTGCTTAACATAAGCAGTAGTTACTGTTCATAGGTTCTATTTCTTTCATAAATATCTTTCAGGAAAAAAAATCAGTCATTTTTTTAAAGTAACTCAAAAAGCACAAAAAAATCTCAGAGTACAGCCACATCCTGCTATCTTGCCCATCCTTCTAGAAACTAAGAAAAATATGCCTTTAAGGTACTGGGGAGTAAAAGCATCCTCTGCAAGCTACTGCACAAAGAACCTCACACAGAAGATGGGTGACAGGCATGGGACAATCTTTCACTTGGTATCGAGTTTGCATAAGCACCTTTCACCTGTAAGCCAAAACAGCTTTCTGTATCTTAAGAAATTTCATGCAGTTAAATAAAATTATGCCAGAGAAGACAGGCTGAGTAAATTTAGTCTCAGCATGGTACTGAAATTTAGATCAAGATTATAAATAAGTTATTTTGTTCAAAACCTTGGTTTTAATTTCAAGTGACATCTTAAGAGCACTCTGTTTCTAAAATACTGGAGGGAATAACTGCCATGTAACTGCCACAAAAGGACAGCCTGAAAAAGGAGATAGCTGTCACAAAACCCTTTGTCCACGAGGGCATGACTTCAAAGAATGATTGGAAAAACGGAAACATAACCCTCATTTTTTATATAGGGGGAAACAGAAGATCCAGGAATCTACAGAGCAGTCAGTCTGTGCTAGGCAAGATTATGAAGCAGATTCTCCTGGAAGCTAAGGCACATGGAAAACCAAGAGGTGATTGGAAAGAGCCAGCACAGCTTTCCAGAGGGGAAATCACGCCTGGTGACCACCTGTGATGGAGACACAGCAGGGCAATTGACACAAGGRACAAGAGCAGAGCAYTGGCATTGTCTACCTGGACTTATGCAAAGCTTAATTTGACAGTGACTCACGTGATATCCCTGTCTCTAAATTGGAGATTTGATGGATGAACTTGGTGGATAAACAACTGTCTGGATGGCTGCACAGAAAGAGTTGTGGTCAAAGGCTCCYTGTCTCCAAGGAGACCAACGACCAGTGGTGTCCCTCAGGGTGAGTTCTGGCACTGATACTGTTCAACACCTTTGTCAGTGACAGRGACAGTGGCCTCGAGAGCACCCACAGCAAATTCCCTGATGGCACCAGGCTGCGTGGGACAAGTGACACGCTGGATGGGAKGGATGACACCCAGAGGGACCTTGCACTGGCATGAAAATTTAGGCTGTGTGAACATAATGAAGTTCAAGAAAGCCAAGTGCAAGGTCTTACACCAGGGTCATGGCAATCCCAGACAGACACACTGGCTGGCCAGAGAAGTGACTGAGAGCAGCCCTGTGGGGAAAGACTTGGGGCTGATGGTTGATGGAAAAAGCTCCACCAGAGCCAGCAGTGTGTGCTCACAGCCCAGAGAGCCAAACGTGTCCTGGGCTGCACAAAAAGCAGCGTGGGCAGCAGGGGAGGGAGGGGATTCTGCCCCTCTGCTCTGCTCTGCTGAGACCCCACCTGCAGTGCTGGGTCCAGTTCTGGTGTCCCCAACATAAACAGCACATGGAGCTGTTGGAACAAGTCCATTTACCCAAGGAGGGTAATGAAGTCAGTAAAGGGTTTGGAGTACATCTCCTACAAAGCCAGGCTGAGAGAGTTGGGGCCCTTCAGCCTGGAGAAGAGAAGGTTGTGTGGAGACCTCATGGCAACCTTGCAGCATCTGAAGGGGGCCCACAGGGAGGCTGGAGAGGGACTCTTCAACAGGAACTGTAGTGACAGGATAAGAGGAATGGGTACAAACTGAAAGGGGAAGTTATGCTACATATCAGGAAGAAATTTTTACTATGACAGAGGAGGCATACCACAACAGGGTGAGAGACTGCACAGGGTGAGCGAGATACTGGTCAGGGAGGTTATGGATAGCCCAAGCCTGGAGCCTGAAGGCCATTTTGGATAAGGCCTTGAGATATCTGGTCTACTGGAAGGTAACCCCACCTTTGGCAAAGCATGTTTAAGATCCCTTCAAACCCTTAACATTCTAGGTCTTGAATTAACATTTTAGGCATATCCATGTAGAACAGTGAAATAAGTCTCAGGTTATATTGTGACTTTCAGGTAAACCTGAAGTAATCTGTTCAATTTCCAGGAAATGACAACATATTTAGCGCATTGTCCTTGCCAATTTCCCATGAACTTTTCTCAGTAGGTATCCCATAAAGCCTTTTTCTCAGGCCATTCATGGAGTCAGGTTAGACTTCAGAGTCTTATGACTACAAGCAGCCTCAGGACATCCCATTGCTCTGGTGGAAACTGAGGTAAATAGACAATATTCTGTCTGTGAAAGCAAAACCTAATTGCCTCTGCTGAGCAGTGGCCGTGTGAAGATTCTCCCTACGTACACTCCTTACAACTTTTGCAGAAGAACATGAATTCAGATTAGCTCTTTTGCAGGTCAAAACCAGAAGCCTTCTTACACTCTTACAAAACACATCTGCATAAGAATTGATCTCAGATTTTCTTTCATCATATGTTTTTCTTGTATGTAAACACATTAAACMACAATGTAAGTGCTTTCAAGAATGACTTTTGCTTCTGGAACCAAAGTAACTTAAAAACCATATTTCATTGCTATGAGCTACTATGTGATAAATGGTTTGGAAGAACTCCAGGAGAACTACTCACTGAATGACTAAATGCTCATAATCTGAATATAATCCTACACAACGTCTCTTTGTTCCATGACTATGTCAAATGACAGCTATTTTTAAAACCTTACTTCTTAGTATTCCATTATAATCCCTTTTCATATAAAGAAGTTTAAAATAAAAAGGCATCCTGTAATTTGGCATATAGAAAAATATTTGAGAATGCCATAAACATATTCTGTGAAAATAGGTTTTAGTGTGTCCAGATATTCTGACTTTTTTTTTAAAACAACTTCTTAATGAGGGTAATTTAGATTGTACAGAGCACTTCTTTACTGTGTTCCTTGCTTTCACGGTTCGATGTAGTTGATTGACAAGAAAACAAATTGCAAAAGGAATGTGTCCTTCACAGACAGAAATCTTACATCACCAAAAAATAACCAAACCAAAAACAAAATACCAAAACAAAAGAAGAAATACAAGAAACAAAAACCCCTCAAACCCATGTATATGTCCTT